GACTTCAACTCCCAGAATTCCCCAGCCAGCATGCTGGGGAATTCTGGGAGTTGAAGTCCACCCATCTTAAAGTGGCCAAAGTTGAAAAACACTGATCTACGTGGTTCCAGTTCTGCTCAAATGGATTATGCCTGCCAAAGGCACAGTCCAACTCATGCTTGACCCATTTGCTGAGCACCAAGACTGGATGACCCCTCTTGTTCCTTACCTCGGCAGGCCTTGCGATCAGTGATTGCTTTGTTCACGTCGCGGTAGAAGCCCTCTTTGCAGTAATGGCAGTGCCGTCCAGCCGTATTGTGCCGACAGTTGAGGCAGACGCCACCGCTCTTCCGCCCGGACAGTTTGTAGAGCTCCATGTTGAAACGGCAACGGCGGGCATGAAGATTGCAGTTACAGGCTGCAAGGAAGAGGTGGAGCAGGTGAGAAAGGATGTCCACTTCTCAACCCACAGCGAGAGGCTGGCTATAAACAGTGAAGTGAGTAGGAATTCTCATGCCAATTGCATTGAAAAGGAGGGGATTTAATTTGGGGGGCGGCGGGTTGACCTGTAGACTTGCCCAGTCCAATGACCGGATTAGGGTTAGGATATGATGGTTCAGCTTAGGCTTTCCTTCACAAAGTTTGAACCAACTTTTTAAATTATACAGACCACTACTCCATCAATGAAAGCATTGAGCATCATCTTAGAAGACAAAGTCAGCAATGTTGTGCCTCTGGGTATCCCAGCACATATGACCCCCTCTCCATCCCCACACCAAGTTTTTAAAAATGCCCCGAATCTTTACAAGATCCTTAAATCTAACAGCCTCAACGTCTTGTGAAATTTCAAATGAGAATGCCAAAATCTTGCATCATTGAGTGTTCTTCCAACATCATGTCCATAAAAAAACAAACAAGAAAAACCACACCCAGCTATTTTGCTTTCTGCACCATCGATCACCTCCAAAGACCACATATAGTCTCCAAACCCCAGATTGAGATCTCCAGGTATACAGCAAACTGGGATTACTGCAGACAATCATTTGCAGATCACCCCATGGTTCCCAGATCGGGGCCAAAAATTAAATGTGCAGTAATCATCATTGCCAGATGTAGATGTCCCACCAACTATGAACCTCAGAGTGCAGGATTTGGGATATTAGAGGAAGAAAAGGACATTGGCTCCTTCAATATTCGTCTTTACAGAACTGGTAAAAACCATAAAGTTACACTAAATGCTCAGTGATTAATGCTCTTTTTTATTTTATAGAGTTTCTTATCTGTATTATCAATTGTCTTATATGGTCATAATGCAGAAGCTAGGAGCATCTGTGGGGCGGGGTGAACATCTGCAAGATGGCAGGCCTGATGTCACAATCTAAGCCCTGTCCCTTTTATATGCACATGGGGCAGGTCTTTGGTTGGGTAGAGACTAAGGAAAATGACCTTCACAGAGATAGGCCAGAACCCTTATCCAAGCCACAAGGGGTAAAACGTGGCTAAGGTCTACAACAAGAAGGTATGCACCAATAGAATTGGGCAGACACCCCCCTAATTCACATGAGTATAAGGGGGGGGGGAGTAAAGCATAGTCAGACTTGCAAGATTTTGTTTCTATAGCCAATATCAATAAAGGTAGTTTTAGCCTTTGTGTGGAGTTGATTTTTTGGTTGGATCTACCTAGTGGGGTTGACAGGTTTCAACACTGTATCCACCATCTGGCATATTTTGATCCTCTTCAAAGCAAACAATTCAAAATTACAATGAGCCATGGATTGATCCATAAAATTAACTTGAAACATCCAGGATTTGGCTGTGCCAGTAACTGGCTGTGATGTCCAAAGAGAGTCAGCCTGTTAAAACAAATCCCAGAGCCTCTTGTACTGATTAAAACGATTTCATCCTATCCTAATCTTTCCCACCAAAAGCAGCAGAAGGAAAAGAAGTTAACTCAATTTTGGGAAGATCCAGAGGGGGCTAGTCAACATGCTCTTAAATGCTCATACGATGATGTCCTCCTGGAATGGTACCAGTTCAGATTCTTAAACCCAGCCTGGTGCTTGTTCAAATATTTGAACATACCACAAAAAGCCTGACTTTAGAGCCCTGGCATGAAAGCTTGTAACGAAAAGTAGGAAGAACTGTTTTCCATCCATAGGAATCCCTGATTCTTCCCCAGATGGCAAGTTCCATCCAAGGCCCCTATCCAGAGTCCATCCAAAGACCACCCATCTTGGCCTGGGCTGGGGGATCCTTTCTTATTCCTCACCAAAGCTATTATGGAACATGAACAGCATTGGCTGCAATCAAGTTATAACACTGAGAACAGGGCCACAAGGCAGTGGAGAGACCTGCTAAAGTTATTTTGCTCTTCTCCACCTCCATGCAGACCCTTGGCCCCTTCTTTTGATTAGCCCCAGAAACCAAACGAGGGCCTGTGGATCCATGTGTGCAGCGACAGACCCTTCAGAGGGGATCACTACCAGATCCTGTTTTAACACACTCATGGAAAGATCATGGAAACAAGACGTCTTCCACCAACGCTTGATGGCTTGCTTTGCCCTCATTCCACCTGCTCCTGGTCAGATCCAGGCCAGAGTGAGAGTTTTTCCAGGCATGCTGAAAAATTCATTAATGTGTCATCCCAAGATTTAACTTCTGGCTCTGCTTATCATTTACATGAAATGTTGTCCCTGTTTGCAATGCTCATGGTTTCCCCCCCCCCCCCCCCCCC